ATAGAGAACTTTTGGTAATATCGCCATTTTGATGATGTTAGTTCTGCCTATCCATGAACAGGGTATATTTTTCCATCTTCTAAGATCTTCTTCAATTATTCCTAATCTCTAACACCAGTGATAGAGGCACTTTATTTATTTGGTTCTGGAGTTTGAATCTAGGGTGCTTTATCACTGAGATACATCACTAATGTTTTTATTTTTTGTGCTATGGTCTCCACCTAGTTGCCAGGGCTGTCCTTGAACATGTACTTTTCTGCTTCAGCCTCCTGAGTTGCTAGGATTCCAGGCATGCTCTATCATGCCCAGCTCGAGAGATGCACTTTAGGGGAAATCCTGAGGGACCTATGGGCAAATATGGGCCATAAAGTAGAACTAAAGCTTTACATCAATTCACTTCCTGACTACCATGACCTCCAGCCTGACTGAGTTGATGCTGTGCCTGGGCTATGAATGGAATGAGATTCAGGACTCATTTGTGGGCCAGAAATTAGATGAAGCCGGCTGTCAACTTTGGGACTGTGACACCTCAGCTGGAGTGGCCCACCACACCATGAAGTACTTGCCTTCTGCTGATCTTCAAAATTACTGCTGTCCTTCTTTACATTCAAGGTAGACTGTATAGTCTCTGTAGCCCTAAGCAACAAGCCTGCCATCCCTACCTTTATTTGGTTCTATAATAGGAAATTAGCATCTTGGGGAGGACTGGGAGTTAGGGTGGGAGGTCAACACCACAGACTTCCTGATAGTCCCTTCTTTGATCTAGAGATGAAGACTACCTACCCCCCAGCAGTCTCCCAGCCCTGTGACTGTCCCTTCCACTCATAGCACCCTCAGCAGTGTTGGAGCCTCAGGTAAAACCAGTTGTGCTCAAGGTTTATCTTTCAAAAGAAACCTCTTCCCTGCTGGACAACTCTGATCAGGACCAGTAGAACTTTCTGGAAGGTATGCTTCTAACTTTTTCCTCTCATAGCAATGACTCGCAGGGGGCCACCTTCATCCACAGACACTTTAGTAGTGAAGAAAAGCTCAATAGGTTTGGTATATAAAGATTCATTATTTCATTATTTCCTAAGGGTAAAGAGCACTATAAACTTCGGGAGATGTTTATAGGGACAGAGGGCTAATATTCTTATGGGAGATCTTAAACATCAACAAACATAAGCTTCATAAAAAGAGGTGAAGACCATGAAGGTAGAATTCACGCACTTACAATGCAGAATGAACCCATTTATTTTACCCATGACATTACTGTATATAAAATGAATTGTGCGGATGGGAGGTTGTGTTGTTAGAACTTTCTACATGCCAGTTTGGTGGTAGTCAAATTTTAAATGTGTATCTTTAGTTCTCTTTGAATTTAATGCAAGGAAATAGTTGGGAAAATGGACAAAAATATTTTGTACAATAATGTTCATTGTTTTGTGTTATTGTAGGAAAAAAATTGAAAATCATCTAAATGTCAGTTGTAGAATAAGTGATTATATAATAAAAACCCAAGTAGCCATGAAAATGACGTAAATTTGTGTTTTAACAACATGGAAGTATTCCCATTATCTATTTATGTGTAAAAATCAGGTTGTAAAGTGTATGTCTAGTATGCTATAATTTTTTTTTTTTTTTTTTTTTTTTTTAAATAAGAGAACACTGTATGTGTCCTGATTTGAAGAAGACAGTACTGGGTATAAGCCAAAAAAGATCAAAAAGGGCCTAGTTATGAGTGATGCTTTTAATTCTCCTCATACTATATAGAATTTTCATTAAGTTTATGCAATGGAAAACTATCCTTTTTATAACCAGAGTGGGAACAGTGAAGTTTTTTTTTAAGAGAGGCAGTAGAAGACAGGTGAGAATGGGCAGGGAGGCCCCCTTTGGTAGCTCTACACCAAAGGGGCCTGTAGGTAGGCGGAACCCAGTGCATGCTCTGCTAGAGGCAGGGGGGAGGGCGGGCAAGTGGGTGCACCTGGGGAACCGGAAAAGGGTGCAGCCATAGGCGTCTGTCTTTGGAAAGCGCAGTGGCTACTCTCTTCGCGGCAGCATGAAGTTTCGTGCCAAGATCACCAACAAGGGCTTTATAGAGCTCTTCATTCAGGTCAGTGGCACCATAGCAAAGCTGGCAAAGGTCTGCGTGCTCCATGTGTGCCAAGACAAACTGTGCTTTGGTCCCACAGGCCCCAGGGCCACCCGAGAGGCCAGGCTGTGGTGCGAAGTGATGCGGGGAGCCTCCTTCTACCAGTTTAACATGGAAGGTGTTTCTGAAGAGCTCAGTGAGATTTATCTAGAGCTGATATCAGAGCATTTGTACAGAGCTGTAAGAAGTGCAGGAAATGCTGCCTCCCTGAAAATCCAGCTGACCAACAAGCGTCGCCCTTGCCTCACAGTGGCGATAGAGCTGGCATCGCGCACTGGGCACACCCATGTGATGGTCCATGATCTACCTGTGAGGGTGCTTCCCAGAAGATGGTGGAAAGAGTACCCAGAGCCCAGTATTCAAGTCTCTGATGTGAGTGTTTATCTGCCAGCTTTGAAGACCCTGAAGAGCATTGTGGAAAGGATGGCCAACATGGGCGATAACGTGCTGGTGGAAGCAAATCTAAATGGTAAAATGAACTTGAGTATAGAAACTGATGTAGTATCTATTAAAAGTTATTTTGAAAATCTTGGAAATCCTTTAAAGTCTGCTCATAGCGTGACCCAAGACAGAGACCCGGAGAACATGGTGCAAGTGCGGGTAGAGAACAGGAAACTTCTGCAGTTTTTTGAGGGACAGCAGATAAATCCCAAAACGGCTTTATGCAATATTTTGAGCAATACTCTTCTTCATCTTGTTTTGGTTCATGAAGATGTCTCTCTTCAGTATTTCATTCCTGCCTTATAAAAAATTCAACCAGCCTGGATTAAAAACAAAAACAAAATCACAAAATTTAGGATCTCTTCATAATTGAAATAGACCTTGAGTTAATTCAATTGATTCTGTACCCTCAGTGGATTATGAGGGTATATGGTTCATTGAGAGATTCCTTTGCAAAATTGATATTAAAGACAATCATTGGTGAAATAGATGGAAAAGAGATTGTAACAAAATAAATGGAAATACCTCTAAATCCTAAAACAATTTTGTCATTATTATAACGTACTAATATGAAGAATGGTATTTTTCTCTTTTTAAAATAAAATAAACATTTTCTGAAAGACTTTGCTTAATCCAGAGAAGTCAGTATATTTAAAAATAAGGGTATTCATCCAGCATTTGTGTACATCACATTCTTTGCAAGAAACTGTATTTTGTTAAAGGAGATATTAGTGTACAGTTGGCCCTTGAATGGTAACTATGTGGGCCCACTTATATGCAGATTTTTTTTGTGTGTGTAGATTTGCAGCAATTTGAAAAATTCATAGAGGAGGTGCTTAGCCTAGAAATATATTAAAAAATGAGGAAGAAAATGTCACAAATACATAAAATATATGTAGATAAGTCTTTTGTCTTTTAGTACCATAAAATATCCATGAATCTATTAGTTACAATGAATGAAAACTTAAACACATAGATACCATACATGGTCCCATTTGTAGTTGATAGAAATATAAAGCTGAAGTATTACAACTGTATAAAATCAACTCTAGTATATTTTGTATTACTGTAAATTTCATTTTAATCTCCTTTTTCTATTGGGAAGCTTAGAGTTATACACAGATTTTGCAGGGGTTGGCGCTCATCAGGGGTTGTCACTAATAACCCCCATATTGGTTAAATAGTCAACTAACTGTATGTTATTTTTGGATTTATGATCTATATAGTTTGAATTGCTTTTTATTAGGTTTTTTTTCATATGTATTGTATTCATATAATGAATCAAGGAAATAGTTAAGTTTATGTGAACCAAGATGTTGCTTATGTAACTTTTGGATAAACCAAGTTTCCGTTTGCTCCCCCATAGTAATGAGCTCCACTTAGGAAATAATTCTTTATCCTTCGTTATTTTGAGAAAAAGGAGAAGAGATTTAAAAGGTTGGTATATTGATGGAATAATATCACATAATTGGTCATATTCTTTTATATTAAATTTTAGTTTAATTTTTATAGTAGCTTGCTCAGTAAGATCCTGTATACCTTGGAAGTCTTTATTTTTGTATACTTAGTAAATTCCTGACTATATTTTAATCAGAAATGAATATTTACACATTAGTTTTGGTGGTAAGATAGTTAAATTTGTTTTGCTGGTTCCATCTGTGTTGTTATGGAAGGAACACAAACATTGGACCTAGTCAAGTCAGATGAGCCCATTAATGTCTAAGCTGTGAAAAAATTGTTAAAAAGCCATTAAAAAAATCCTCTTATCAGAATTTTCATATACTTTAAACATGAAAGTGAAAAACAAATGTTTTAACATAGAAAATTCTAAGCTCTGAAGTTTTTTTTTTTTCTGTTCTGTACCATAAACAGGACTTGCATTTATTTGTGGCATCTCTTCTTTCTTTTCTTGTTTTGGAGTGTTCAGGCTTTAGTTGTCATCTTTTATTTGACTGTTTCATCCTCTGTCCCCTCTGTTTTTCCATTAGACTGCCAGTCTCTCTTTCTGTTTCTTCCTTTTTATGTATTTAAAGAAACTGAGGGAAATGAGAAATCTTATGGTTTGTGAAGTTTAATTTGGTGAATTTTTATAATTTAGTAATTCATGAACAGAAAGTGTCTGTCAAAAGTTTTATAGCCTAGTCTATGCAGTGGAACTTTTGAAAAAGGGAAGGATAAGTTTTTTTTCAACTTGGGTTATTTACTAAGCTAGAGATAATTTGGTTATTTACTAAGCTAGATTATGGAAATAGCAAAAGGCCATCTAAATAGCTCTTGAAAGTTCATATCATTCTAATGGTAGTCAAAAAATTTTATAAAATATAAATTTAAAATAACAACGTTCTTATAGGTTTTTAGTTTGTGAAAAGCTAAGAAGGGTTCATTTCCATATTTATACATTAGTTATCGAGTTTAAATGCTTAATTCTATAAGACTCTATTAGAAACAGAAACCGAAAGATGCCTTAGAGATGATATCATCCAATCACCGTATTTGTAGTTGAGGAAACAGTTTCACAGAACATCGGAGTGACCAGGGGCGTTTGAGTAAGCCAAGATCTATTTTAGAAACCAGTCTCCAAACTCTTCATAGATCTTTATGTTTTGAGCTTATTCTATCAAGCCTTAATTCAGTTTGGAAATACTTATATTAAGATGAATCTAAAGTACTTTGTGAATGTACCACTTACCTAAAAAGGCAAAATTACATTAAAACAATCTCAAATGTTTTTTGAAGAGTGTTGCCATATTGCTTTTGTCTGATGATGTCTTTGTTTTTTCAGGGAGGAATGAAATTATTTTCCACAAAATGATACTTCTAGGTGGGTGCAGTGGTGCACGCATGTAATCTCAGTGGCTTGGGAAGCTGAGGCAGGAGGATTGCAAGTTCAAAGCCAGCCCCTTTGCAACTTCGTGAGGCCTTAAGCAATTTAGGGAGACCCTATCTCAAAAAATAAAATGGGTGGGGGATGTGGCTCAGTGGTTAAGCACCTCTGGGTCCAATCCCTGGTACCAAAAGAGGGTAAAAGATACTTATACAGAAAACAAGTCTCGTATTAAAAAAAAAAAAAAAAGCCAAGGTATCAGGTTTATAAATTATTTCAGCTTCTCTCATTTGTATCTTTCAGGGAGATACTACTACTGAGAAGCAAGGAAATACTGTGCCTTTTATGTTTCACTCTTATCTACAGGAAATAAATCATTGACAAAATGTATTAAAGTTGTTCTTTATATCCCAAAGTGGACATCTCAATATAAATGTTATTGTCCTAGTAGATATCATTTGCTAAAAGCTGTAGTAAGCTTATCTACATAACAGACTTGTATTTCTTTTCATTGTTCTTGAGTGTATGTTTAGTATGTGAATAGGTTACCAATATTAAAAAAAATCAGACAAGTGTCTGTTAGCTGATTCATTCCTATAAGGATGCTCCTAGTTCTGTTTATTCCAATTCAGGTCAGACAGTTGAAAAATACTTGGTAAATTAACATGATTCTTTTATGAGAGCAATAAGAAATTATTTATTTGTGATTTTAATAAAAACATTATCTCGAGTGTAGTATATTTTTAACTGGAAGAGTGTTGAGAAATCTCTATTATTAATCCCACAAATAAAAGTGCATACTTCAGCAGGCAGTGGCTACAACAGTATAAAAAAGCATATTCTTGTATTTCTAAATTAAATAGCTTACTGGTCTTCCTTAAAGTATGATTTGTCCTTGGTTAAGGAAATAGGTGGTAAGGAAATAGATATTATTTTTGCATATGAACAGCTAGATTTTTACCTGCCTCCTAGTTTGTGTGTCTGGTATAGACCTATACTCTTCCAAGTAGATCACACTTTTTGATTCATCACTCTCAGACATTATTATCATCATCATTATTATTTTCCCAGGTATTACTTTATTTTATTTGGATAAACTTTGAGGGTAAAGTAGTTAGGAATATGACCCTTGATAAATGACTGCAAATGGATTTTGAAAATTGAGAGTGAATTAGAAATGCTCTGTTAGTTTTTAGTTTTGCCTTGAGACCAGAGGTATTCTAATTTCACATCAGAATGAGCCAGAGCCACAGATTACTGAGAAACAGTCAAAGTTCTTATCTCATTTGTCATATATACAAAGGACCTCATGGTACACAAGGTAGTATAGAAGAGTGATATTAGACTCTTTGAATCAGGAAAGGTCTGTTTTAAAGCTAATAAAGTGTGTGACTTTGTAAAGGTAATTTGACATCTCTGAGTTACATTTTCTTCAGATGACAAGACTAAATATTAATTGGATCAAGTCTCTTTTGGCTCTGATTGTGTGAATACCAGCCTATACTCTTCTGGTAATCAAAACTGTCATTTTCAAAGATTGTTGTTAGTCTGATATTTCTAGTAATCACTAGTAATCATCTTTTCTATAATATTAATGTCACTTGTAATTACTGATAATTGTCATACTACTGTTTCTCTGGAAACAAGGGGAACAGAGAATTTCTACTTGAAAATTTGGTTCTTTATGTGAACTAGACCAGATACTGAAAGGAATCCCCTGAAGCCACATGCTTACCCAATTTGTGTTGTACAATTGAGGTCACAACTTAGTAGTGCCAGCAAGATAATTAAATCACTACTCATTGAGGGCCTACTTTTCTATGCCAATTGAAGGAAGCATTTTACTTTGTTCAGAGTTGGTTTGTAGGTATTAATTAATGAAGCAGGTTAATTATCCAACCTTTTCTTAGTATTTCCCTGCAATTCTTGTAGTATCTTTGGGGCAACCTAATGTCTATTTGTTTAAATGGTTGTTAGAACTTTGTGGCCAAATGTCTTTTCAGTTCTATGAAATTTTATTTTATTTTATTTTGTGCTGGGGATTGAACTCAGGTGCACTCAATCACTGAGCCACATCCCCAGCCTTATTTTGTATTTTATTTAGAAACAAGGTCTCAACTGAGTTGCTTAGTGCCTTGCTTTTTGCTGAAGCTGGCTTTGAACTCTCCATCCTCCTGTCTCGGCCTCCCGAGCCACTGGGATTACAGGCATCTGCCACCATGCCTGGTGAATTTTTTTAATGTGTTACCTGGATTTCACATTTATCAATTTATAATAGTTCTCAGACATGTACTCAAAACAAACTTTTCACTCTTCTCTGCATTTAGAAGCATGTTTAAAGGGTTAACAATAGAATGTCTCCTTAAAGGAATATTTATTTCTAAAGCTTTATGTAAGCTTAACTATTAAATCATCTAGTATGTCTATTATTTAAAATTAGTTTATTGAGCCAGGTACAGTGGCACATACCTGTAATCCCTGTGGCTTGGGAGGCTAAGGCAGGATGATCAGGCATTCAAAGCCAGCCTCAGTAAAAGCAAGGCACCTTGCTGAGACCCTATCTCAAATAAATACAAATTAGGGCTGGGGATGTAGCTCAGTGGCCGAGTGCTCCTGAGTTCGATCCCTGGTACCACCCCACAAAAAGTTTCATTTGTTGATTGCTTGTGCATTTTGCTGTTATCAAATGTTAAAAA